CACTCACCTATAAGGCGAGACGGCGGAGTCCGGTGGTGAAGGAAGACGGCGGCCATAGCCGTGGAGTATTGACACAGAGTACCGGAGGAGACAAAGAAGAGGGAGAGAGAGGGAAGGAAGGAGAAAGGAGAGGTAAAGACGAGGAGACAGACATAGCCGAGGGTGAAAAGAAAAAAAAAAAGAAAAAAAAAAAGAAGAAGATCGGGGTGCAAGAGGGAGAAAGAAAGAGAAGGTGAAGGTGCCGGCAGCCATAGCTGAAGGTTGATGAAGGTTGGAGGGTTGACGGAGGGTTGACCGAGAGTTGACCGAGAGTTGACCGAGAGTTGACCAGAGGGTTGACCAAGGAGGTTGACCAGCGTTGACCGGGCCGTTGACCAAGACTTGACCAAGTTGGAGTTGGTGAGATCTCGCCAAGCCTTCAGCCTTCTCCCTACCCTGTGGATGTACACTCACCCATTGGTACTTGCTGAGGTCAAGAGTCTGTCTGTCTCTCCTTTTTGCATTGAGTCTCTTCTGTCCTAGGTGAGAATCTGTGGATGAAGGATAGGGCCTTGCTGCCAGACCCACACGAGCTTAGTAGGACTCCTACTCTGAGAHTTGAGGACCTGGGCATGAGCGGCGAGCGCTCGTTAAACAACTCGTCTAGCCCAATGACCGGTACTGACCGGCAGGTTTTTCAATATCAGTTTAGTGGGTCTAAAATGAGTTGTGGGCCGAAACGAAGGCCGTCGTTAAGTATTGAGGCCTGGTTGAGCCACTCCCCTACCGGACCTAGTAAGGCTGATGATCTGTGTCTGACGACTCGACTGTCCCGAGGGATACGAACCCCTCCAAGGACCGGTACAGACCGGCGGGCTGCTCGGTGTGGCACAGTAGGCTGGACGGGCTGAGTTGTGGGCTGAAATCGCCAGAGGAACCAAGCTGATCGCGTCGTCCTGTCTGCGACGTTAAAGAATTCTTGCGAAGTTGGGGGATCTTCTAAAATACCTCCTGATCAGCTTTTGGTTCTGTAGTGACAGCCTTAGAGTAGTCTTGGGTTGGTTGCCTGTGGCCCTTAGGGAGTCAGTCAGTAGGTCAGTGTGTCCGGGTAGGTCTACGTGGTGAGGAGTGGGACCCCTGTCGTGCACCAACACCACGATGGATGACTATCCGATGTATGGGCTACTTGCGGGGTTCTCCCTCTGGGGGACCCTCTGGCGTCTCCTCTTTCCTCTGGGCTTTTGGCCCACTTTCATGTGTAGAGTAGGGCCCACTCGCGGTGGGACGTCCACCACCCCCTACACGAAGGAGGAGGAGTAGAAGATGGCCGCCCTTCTACAGGAGAAGAAGGAGAAGGAGGCCAAGAAGAGGGCCTTGAAGGAGGAGCAGGCGGCCAAACTGAAGAAGATGGAAGAAGAAATGGCCAGAGAGAAAGAGAGGTT